CAATGTTTATCAAGGATGAATGTATAAATAAAATGTTGTATATACGCACAATGGAATATTATGCAGCTATAAAGAAAATGAAGCCTTGATGCATGCCACAACATGCATGAACCTTGAAAGCATCATACTGAGTGAAATAAGTCAATCACAAAAGGACAAATATTGTATAACCTCACTTGTACGAAATAAGCAAATATATAGAAACAAAAGATTATTACTGGCTACCAGAGGTGGGAGGGAGGGGGAAAGGGGAACTTTTTGCTTGGGGAAATTGAATTTATGTTAATGGTGGCACAACAAGAAAAATATCATCAAGGTTATTAAGTTGCAAATGTGGAAACTGTGCTGGCAAATGTTTTGGTGTGTATATTTTCACCAAAATTAAAATAAATAACTATGAGAAATTTGCATAAACAGAATTCGAAGAAAGACTTCCTTGCCAGCCCTCTTCTGCTCCATAGCAGCTCCCACATCTAAAACCCTGAAGCCACAGTGACTCCCTGGATTGGGGTTTTGAGGTGCTGGGGGTGCCTCAATGGTCTCTGGGATTCAGCCTCCAGGAGAACTCACCTGTCTGATTTGCGAACTACTACTCCGGGCAGGGTCTACGCTCGAAACAGCAGTGAGGGGTACCCTGGTTGGGGATCTGGCTGAATCCTGGAGTGCAACTCTTGCTGCTGACAGAGCTGGGAACTTGAGCACAGAGGAGCAGAGGGATCACCAGTGATCAGGCTGGAAAGCAGCCCATCCTGAACCACAGCGGTGGTGCCAGTTTTTCTCCACGCACAGGAAGACAAGACACCTTTGCTGGACAATCTCAGTCACATCAGAGAAGAAAAAATGGAGATTGACCCACAGAAGCATAGATGAAGTAAACCCTCAGCAGGGCACCACCTGGCTCACCGGGCCCTTATGGCTCCTCTCAGCTGCTCTGAATTCAGTGAAGTATGGGAAAGTTTAGTAACACAGTGTCAAACGTCACCTGTTCTGTCTCTCTGAGATTCCTACACTGAGGCCTGCAGGGGTCACTCCCTCACACACCCATTATTAATCCTCCCATCTGTGCAGGACTTGCAAAAGGATTATTCTGACTTCCTCAGTCCATGTCCCACCTCCAGGCAATAGTGATGGGGAGGCAGCCTGGTGGTTAGAATGCCTTTGAGAGAAGTGTGGGAGACTGGCCTTCCCGTAGAGGAGAGCAGTGTGCCTGTGGCGAAATGAGCTCCTTTATGTGGCCTTTTGTCTTGGTGCTTTAAAGAAAACAACTTGGGAGATTTTTTCCCCCTAAACTCTGAGGAATTGTTACCTTTGCCCTAGTTCTTTGGAGAAACTACTTAGGGGACCTTCCAGGTTTCTTTCTACCCCTAGAGGGTTGTTAATTTTGCCTGGGGAAGAAGCTGCTCTCTAGTGGGGGGGGCACGGGGGTGGGGGGAATGTTACTTTTGTATAAGACTTGAGTTGATTGATATCTCATGGGCTTCTAACTCTCCCAAAATGATTGTCTGGGCCACAGTCTTGCAAGTGACTGGTCAATTTACTATTACAAACAGTGGCTTGAAAATCCGCCCAATAAGATTGAGTGACTTGTGGTCCACTGAGTGGATTGGTCCTGCTGGGAGGGCCATGCCTTGTAATTGACAAGGTGTTTGCTTATATAAGCAACCAAACCCACAGAGGTTTTTAGAGAATAGAAGCAAGGAGGGAACTCAAGACTATGAAAAGCCTGGAGCAGCGTAGTTAGGACCCAGAGTTCCTGTGAGGGGAACTTCCTAAAAGGAGTTGTAATGCAGGTCAAGGGCTATAACTCTGAAGATGCCAAGGAGCCCAGAAGGGGCCTAGCAGCAGAAAACTGGCGGCAAGAGGCCCGGAAAGGGGCACAGTGCAAGAACTGGTGGTGACAGCAGAAAGCTGCTGCTAGGTAAGAAGCTAAGAGAGCTGAACAACCTGCTATACTGGCTATGAGCTGGGCCAATTAGCAGCAGGGAGGCTGAAGGTAGAGAGACCTGCACGGCTGAGAGGAGGCATGCATGGTCAAGAGGAGGCCTGCCTGCATGACTGAGAGGGAGCCTGCTAACACAGCCGAGAGGGGGCCTGCTAACACAGCCAAGAAGGGCCTGCTAACATGACCGAGATGGGGCATGCCCCAAGAGGGGCCACGCTAGCAGAGGACAGTCCTGTAAGTGGCAGAGAGCAGTTGAGAGACCTATCCTGGTTGAAAGCTGTGCTGCACTGAAGAAGGGAGGGAAGTACTCTCCACTTCAGAGGAGCCTTAGAGATATTGCCTATGTGTTTCCTGATCCTGATTCTGAGTTGTTCCTGTTACTTCCAAGTTCATCCTGATTCCAAGCTGTAGCCTGTTACTTCCCTAATAAACAACATAACTGTTAGTATGGTCTGTGAGTTCTGTGTGGCCATTGCAATGAATTATTGAACCCAACAGAAAGTAGAGAGAAGATGGACAGTGAAGGTATGTCTGACCTCTACCTCATAGGAACCAGCTTTGTGCTAATCCTGATTCTTATCCCTCAAGAATTTAGATGATTCCTTACGCGAGAGTATAGTACCTTCCTAGCTCAAGCCAATTGAAAGCGGTTTGAAGAGAATCCTCTGACAGATTGGCCTTTTTCCCCTGGATTTGAAGGGTCCAGAGAAGGAGCCTCACTTTAAAGGCAAACACTGGCTGGAGGAGCCTCAGAGAACACAGGACAGCAATGGTATAGTGGGGCCTGGACTTCTGCCAATAGTGCTCAGAGGGCCAGGGTGGGGGTTCCTGTGGGCCAGGTGGACACCTGGACAAACATGTCCCAAGTCTGCAACTACATTTGTTAATAAACAAAATGAAAATACCTATCCTGCCCACCTCCCAGGGAATACCTATCCTGCCCACCTCCATATAGGGAACAGATTGGGTGAAATGTATTGCTGTGTTCCCAGGTAAAACATTCACCTCTTCCTTGAGCAGTTACCTGAATATGAACATGAAGAAGAATGCTCTAATGGAATCTGCCAGTGCAGATTCTACTTCAACTTCTGTGGCCCTGATAGCTTCAATTCTGATAGTGAGTAAATGCCTTTTCCCCCATCAGGAAAGGCTCTAGAAGCTCAACCGCATGGCTCAGTTATAATTGGCTCATTTTAGAACCACATTCATTTCATGAGTTCAATAGGGGCTTAGACCATGGGCCTCTGAGTTCCCCTCCAATTCTGATACCCCAGGACTGGGATCATCATGCTCCCAGGCTACTGACCTGGAGCTACTCCTTTGTCCAATGGATGGTGACTCTGTCCTCTGAAGAGGCTTGTGGTCAATGGAGCCAATGTAGACAAACAGGAATATGTCCTCGGGGTTTTCTGCCCGTGGAGAATGTCAAATTCTGTAACTATATCACCATTGGCATCAAAAACTATCTCTTTCCAGTGGGGGGTCTTGAAATGCACGTTCCAGAGGTGATGCAGAAGCTGGAGGAAGGAAGGGTGATGTCGTAGATCAGCTATGGCCACCCCTGGGGTCTGTCCAAAATAGCCTATGGCTCAGGAGGCACAGGCCCAAGCAAATGAATACTTTCAGGAGCCTGTGAAAAAGTTTTTAACTTCTTTTAAAACCTAAAGAATAAAGTAATAATGAATATACAATAATGAATCCAGCCTGGATTATATTCATTTTATACCAAGGAAGTAGTAAAGTAGAATTTTTAATATTTTTTAATAGAAGAAAGAAAATTTAACCCAGTTAAATTTGAATTTCAAATATAAGTAGTCATGAACATATGACATATTTGAGTTACAACGAGCAGCATTTACGACCATCTGTTTGTTTCTTGTACATCTTATCATTAGTAATATGTACTATGTATGACGTTGCAGTACATAATTTGCTATGTTATCATTCTTGGATGTTCATTTACAGATGTTCAATGTTATGATTTACTGTTCAAAACACTGCTGTATAGCAGGCTATGGCAATAATAATGAAAAAAAGAAGTATCCGACTTATGTCAGAACCAACTTACAGCACATTTGTCAGAAGATAACGCCATTGTAAGTCAGGAACTACCTGTAAGTGATTTTTTTAAGTATAAGTATTGCCCATGCAATGTTTGGGATATACTTATACTAAAAAATTATAGGTTGTTTATCTGAAATTCAAATTTGGGACACATATACTAAAAAAAAGTATTCACTGTTCATTTGAAATTCAAATTTGGGATACACTTATACTAAAAAAGTATTAATAGTTAATCTGAAATTCAAATTTGGAGCACACATACTAAACACTTATTTACTATTTACCTGAAATTCAAATTTAACTGAGCATACTATCTTGGCTACATCAAATAACCCTATGTGGAAGTGACTCATTTGTGTCACACAATTGGAGTGGCTCTTCCTAAAATGTCTCTCAGCTGTGAATATAAGGCTTTTTTGCTGAAGAGCCTCATAGGTGTTGTACTCCCTGCTCTTCCCTGAATCATTCACACATTTCCCTCTCACCTGCCAAGGCTGAAAAGTGTCAAGTATCTGCACATAGCCCATTGCCATGTTCACAGGTGACCAGGTCCTGCAGAGCATGGGCAACACTATAGACTGCTGAGTACATGACATCCACTTTACTCACATTCTGGAAAAGGTATTCCTGGCCTCCTAGACTCTCATTCTTTGAGTGGAACTGGACCCCTCCTATAGCTGTGCTGTTCTTCGCTGGCCCTGGGCTCCTGCTGGGCCATGTACATCCAAAGGTGACCCCCCAGAACCTCTTGGTGAGCATGTCTTCTGGGGTTGGAGTGAGATGCAGATGAGCGAGGAATTTTGGGAAGCTGAGGACCTGGCTGGGTTGTGGCATAAGGCTGAAGGAGCCTTGTAGGACCTGGGAGATGCCTGGGATAGCCAGGGCCAGAACGCTATGCAGCGTGTCTTGGCTGACCCACACCTGGCCTAAGACCGCACTGCCCAGAAGCCCCTGAAGAACAAGGTGGAAACTTGAATTGCACAGGAAGACCAGAATGGCCTTTGTGGTACAGACTTCCTTCCATCCTTCAGACAATGGTGCGGGTCTTCTCCAGGGACTGCTGGGAGGGGATGTGCAGGTGGAACTGAATGCAGATACTGGCCTGAACGAATTCCCAGGTCACCAGAGTGCTGCCCTGCTGACCGTGGTCATCGTCTTGGGCCAGAATGCCAACCCAGGACCATCCGGAGTGGAGCACCAGATGAGACACCATGTGGGAGCACTTGAGGTCACTGGCCATAGTCCACACTCATACCTTCCCACCTCCCCATCTCAGCACTGGTAGCTCAAGCCACCCTGAACCTCAGTCCCAGAGACTTGGCACTTCCTTGACACACTATTTCACCCTAATCTCAATTTAAGGTAAACAATAAATAATATTTTAGTACAAGTATCTCCCAAATCTCCTATTGGGACACACTTACACTAAAATATACTATTAGTACTTCATTAAGTGTTAGTATTCAGTATAAGTGTGTCCCAAACATCCTATTGGGACATAAGCATACAAAAACATACTATTAGTATTTAGTATTACTATTCAGTGTATGTCCCAGATATACTATCAGATATACTTAGAGATTTATGAAATAATACTTATATTAAATAAGCTTATATAAAAATTATTTAAAAATACTAAATATGGGACACACCTGATGTCATGGATTGAATTATGTCCCCCCAAAAATGTGTGTATCAATTTGGCTGGGCCATGATTCCTGGTATTGTGTGATTTTCCTATATGTTGTAAATTCTGCCTCTGTGATATTAATGAGGGAGAATGGGTGGCAGTTGTGTTAGTAAGCCAGGATTCAGTCTACAAGATTGGATTGTGTCCTGGGGCAATCTCTTGAGACATAAAAGAGAGAAGTGAGCAGAGAGACAGGGGGGACCTCATACCACCAAGAAAGCAGTGCCAGGAGCAGAGTGTGTCCTTTGGACCTGGGGTCCCTGCGCAGAGAAGCTCCTAGTCCAGGGAAACATTGATTAGAAGGCCGACAGAGAGAGGAAGACTTTCCCTGGAGCTGACTCCCTGAATTTGGACTTTTGGCCTACTTTACTCTGAAGAAATAAATTTCTCTTTGTTAAAGCTATCCACTTGTGGTATTTCTGTTGTAGCAGCACTAGATGACTAAGACACATACTAAAAAATATTTGTTGTTTATCTGAAATTCAAATTTAACTGGGAGTCTGTACTTTTATTTGTAAATCTGGCAACCCTATTCTGGGATATACTTATACTAAGGGATATGCTTATACTAAAAATGACTTATAGTAAACATACTAATACTTTAGAAGTTTTTTTCTATTGTGGTGAAAATATATGCAACAAAACATATACCAATTCAATAATTTCTACATCTACAATTCAGTGACACTAATTACATTCTTCAAGTTGATCAACTATTCTCACTAACCTTTTCCAAATCACTCCACCACCATTAACATGCACTCAATGCCTCCTAAGCCGAAACTCTGTCATTCCCCCTCTCTCCCACACCTGGTAATCACAAATAATTTTTTGTTTCTGTATAGGTGCTCCGCAGGACAAATAACCTGGCTATCTGCTCTGGTTAAAGATTTCAGTCTAGAAAATCCCATGGGGCAATATGTGTACAAGGTATTGCGTGGACATAGGGTTTCAATTCTCTTGAGTATATACCTAAAAGTGGAATTGCTAGGCCATATGGTAACTCTAAAAAAACACACACATACACACAAAACAAAACCCACTGCCAACAATTTGATTCTGACTTATAACTCTAGATTTAACTTTTTGAGAAATTGCCAGACTGTTTTTAAAGTTGTTGCACCATTTTACATTCCACCAGCCCTGGATAAGGATTATAATTTTTACACATCATCACCAAAACTTGTTATTATCTGTTATTTTTGTTTTGTTTTGTTTATGGCTTGGTAAGTCTTTTTCAAACTTTTTTAATTGTGAAAATTTTCAACAATGTATAAAAAGAGTCAATGACCATCCATGTGACTGCTAATGGGTATAGTGTTTCTTTCTGGAACTACATACCAGTGATGGTTGCACAATTATATGAATATACTAAGAATTTTTACACTTTAAAAGGGTGAATTTTTATGGTATATTAAATATATCTCCATAAAACTGCTATTGAAAAAAGAAGACTAAGAAATAAAAAGGAGACTAATTGAATTAAAGCAGAGCATTCCAGAGCTTATCATATTGAAGAAAACATCTGCACTTTAGGAATGAGGGAGCCACCAAGGTGGCACCTATAAGACTTGTTAATTGCCTGCTCACCTGTCCTGATGTTCCTGTTAGTATCTGGAGACAACGTGTCTCTCCACCCTAGAGGTAACAAATGGGGCCCACGGAAATAATTGGTTTGGGCTTTACATGCAGAAGGCACTACTTACAACTGGGAAATTTAACATTACATTAGGGTTTCTCAACCTCAGCACTATTGACATTTTGGACTAGATAAATCCTTGTTTAGAATGTTTAGCAGCATTGCTGGCCCCTACCCCCTGGAGGCCAGAAGAACACCACAGCCCCATTTGTGTCTCCAGACATGGCCAAGTGTCCCTTGGGGAGTAAAACTGTCTTCATTTGAGAACCTGCATTAGAGAATTTGGATATCTGACTTCTCCCCCAGCTGAGAAAATTCAGTACTGCTGAGCTTGAACTTGCTCACACAGACATGGGCTGGGAGTGAGTAGTAGTTACCCAATAGTGGACTGTGCTGTTTGGTTCACCACTGTCTCCACCACGCCCTGTTGCCTCCCAGTCCCCAGGCCTGGGCCTGGCAGCTTTCACACTGCTCTGGACCAACCATCTTCTTAAAATGAAGAAACTTTTTTTTAAATCTGATTCTCTGTTAGAACAGAAAAGCCCAACACCAGAGTGGTCTAAGAACAATATGAGAATAAAAACCTTTCTGGAAATTAGTTCTCTGAGTGTCTCTGGCTGATACCAGTCCTTTCTACAGGATGATTTATGAACCATCCTGGAATCTTGGAGACCTGGGTCTTCGTGGTGGTGTCATTTCTTCCTGGAAAGCCCTTTTGGGATGATAACTGTCCAGAGGGCATCAAAGTTTATCCTGGTGAACTCCTTGACCTGACTGCCACAGTCAGTGCCTGAGTTCAACCCACCTTCACTCTCAATCAAAAGTTAATGTCTCTAACTAAAGGGGCACACCAGCCCAGGGGCAAGGACTAGAAGGCAGGAAGGGACAGGAAAGCTTTTAATAGGGAACCCAGGTTCGAGAAGGGAGCTTGTTGATATGTCATGGGGTTGGCAACCAATGTTACAAAACAGTGTGTGTACTGTTTAATGAGAAGCTAGTTTGTTCTGTAAACTTTCATTTACAGTACAATTAAAAAAAAAAGAGTTGAATTCCTCACACAATAATAAAAAAAAGTTAACATCTCTAAATATATGTTGTTGTTGATGTTGACGTTGCTGTTGCTGTTGTTAGGTGCCATGAAGGCGGTTCCAACTCATAGCTACCCTGTATCTACAACAGAACAAAACACTATCTGGTCCTGTGCCATCCTCACAATCATTACTGTGTTTGAGCCCACTGTTGCAACCACTGTGTCAGTCTGTCTAGTTGTTGGTCTTCCTCTTTTTCACTGACCCTCTACTTTACCAAGAATAATGTCCTTCTCCAGGGACTGATCCCTCCTGATAACATGTCCAAAGTACTTGAGAAAAGGTCTCACCACCCTTCTAAACAGCATGGTGGCTGTACATCTTCCAAGACAGATTTGTTCGTTCTCCTGGCAGAACATTGTATATTCAATAATCTTCACCATAAGTCAAAGAAATTCTTCTTCTATCTTCCTTATTCATTGTCCAGCTTTCACATGCATATAAGGTAATTGAAAACACTATGGCTTGGGCTGGGCACACTTTAGTCCTCAGAGTGACGTCTTTGCTGTTTAACACTTTAAAGAGGTCTTTTGCAGCACATTTGCCCAATGCAATATGTCGTTTGATTACTTAACTGCTACTTCCGTGGGCATTGATTGTGGAGCCAAGTAAAATGAAATTCTTGACAACTTCAATATTTTCACTGGTTATCATGATGTTACTTATTGATCCAGTTGTGAGGATTTTTGTTTTCTTTATGTTGAGGTGTGTCTTAGTCATCTAGCACTGCTATAACAGAAATACCAGAAGTGGATGGCTTTAACAGAGAGAAATTTATTCTCTCACAGTCTGGTAGGCTACAAGTCCAATTCAGGGAATCAGCTCCAGGGGAAGGCTTTCTCTGTCAGCTCTAGGGTAAGGTCCGTGTCATCAATATTCCCTTGGTCTGGGAGCATATCAGCGCAGGAACCTCAGGTCCAAAGGACACGCTCTGCTCCCCGTGCTGCTTTCTTGCTTTCTCTGCTCTCTTCCCTTTCCTTTTATCTCTTGTAAGATAAAAGGTGGTGCAGGCCACATCTCACGGAAACACCCTTTACCTTGGATCAGGGATGTGACCTTAGTAAGGGTGTTACATCCCACCCTAATCCTCTTTAACATAAGATTACAATCACAAAACGGAGGACAACCACACAATGCTGGGAATCATGGCCTAACCAAGTTGACACAAAATTTTGGGGGACACAATTCAATCCATGACAAGATGTAATCCGTACTGAAGGCTGTAGTCTTTAAACTTCATCAGTAAGTGCTTCATGTCCTCTTCACTTTCAGCAAGCAGGTTGTATCATGTGCATACCGGAAGTTGTTAATGAGTCTTCCTCCAATCTTAATGCCGCGTTCTTCTTCATGGAGTCCGGTTTCTCAGATTATTTGCTCAGCATACAGATTGAATAAATATGGTGAAAGGATACAACCCTGACACACACCTTTCCTGATTTTAAACCATGCAGTATCCTCTTGTCTGTTCAAATGATTGCCTCTTGGTCTATGTACAGGTTCCACATGAGTACAATTAAGTGTTCTGGAATTCCCCTTCTTCTCAATGTTATCCATAATTTGTTATGATCCCCACAGTGGAATGCCTTTGCATAGTCAATAAAACACAGGTAAACATCTGTCTGGTATTCTCTGCTTTGAGCCAAGATTCATCTGACATCAGCAATGATATCCCTTGTTTCACGACCTCTTCTGGATTCAGCGTGAATTTCTGGCATTTCCTGTCTACGTACTCTGCAACCGTTTTTTAATTATCTTCTAAAGATATACCCATTGTTAATCTAGCGCTAATGGTGAAG